TTACTGTATTGCTAATACAGCAGGGCACTGTGGGGATTCCGTTTAGTTCATGTGGTACCTGTGTTGCACCAGGTAGGGTACCGTGTCAGTACAGTAGAAGAAAAGTTCAGAAAGCAGTTCAGAAGAAGATGCGATCTTGGGCACAACCAATTTATTCGCCTGACTTTTCAGGCCATGCAGCGCTTAGGATCGATGGACGCCTGACAACACAGATCGGAATTCTCGGCTTCGTATGTGTGTAATACCTTGCCGTCGTTGAACACGATCGGATGTTGGCATTCGAAGAAAATTTCAACGACGTCTACCTGGGCATGCAATTTAGGATGGAGGAGGAAGAAAACAACCAGTTGGCCTTTCTTGATGTCCTCATTTACCGTAAATGGTGCAATAGCCTTAAGACCGCAGTGTCCGTGAAAACGAGGAGTACGATACACGTACTGGACTCCAACAGCAACCACCCTATTAGTTACAAACACAGTCGCGTATGGAAGATAGGCCGTCGTCATCAGACGAATTACAGGGAACTGAACGACAAAGTTTGCAAATTAAAATTGTAGCGGTCAAGGATAGGCGATCTACCATAACCATGACACTAAGAATATTCCGTCCGATGGAAGAAGGCAGTCAGATGTTAGGAGCGATTTATTGGGTACACAAGGCAAGTTGCCGTGGATTGCCTGGCGTGTGAAGAACGCGACCGTCTGGGGGCGTGTGGGCAGCGATGTGTTATGTACTGGTTTTGTCATTGCTCGTGTCAGCACGCCGGAGTGCGTGTCGGGTGTATGATTGGTCAAGTCAAAGGGGCCATGGATGACAAGACAGGCTGGCCTATTCGCGTAAGATGCGCGTTGTCTGCACACGTGACTGGATAAGCTGAGGTCAACACTGGAGGCCGCCAGTCAGCGGTGTTTTCTCGGCAGACGGGATGCCGGAGAAAAGGGGAGAACATTGGAGCAGCTGCTTTCGGTTAGCTCGAAAGGGAACACTGAAACAGCTGCTAGGTCAAAGGTAGGGGCACCGGGACGCCAGAGAGAGGAAGCATTGGAACAGTTGCTACACCTGTTCCTTCTCTAATGTGCTTTGTGTTCTTGGTCCTCCCCCCCCAGCGGTCTGTGCTGGTGACGATTCAGTTGTTTGTTCGGTCCCTTTGCGACGCGATACGTAGTCGCCTGGTCGGGGTAGGAGTTTTTTTGCTTAGATAAGCAATATAAATCTGTGCACAGCGATTCCTATGTTAATAGTCGCCCGATGTGCGATGACAGAGACCAGTAGGCCAGGTCAGGCGAAGAGGTTCTAACAACGTTCGGTTTGGTGATGTTACGTACAAACTGAAAGTACAAAGTGCATGTGCTGAACGAAAAAACCCACCTGGCTGAAAGAAGTAGTGTAGCAGCTGTTCCAATGTTTCCTTCCTCTGGCGTCCCAGTCCCCCAGGTTTGATCTAACAATTGCTCAAGTGACCCCTTTTCTCATGTATCCTGTCTGCCGACACAAGTCCGGTGAGTAACAGCCATTCCGCCGAAGTGCGGTGACCCCC